AGCCTTTTTAGCTCTACGACAAAAGAGAACGATGTTTGTATTATACGGATCAAGGCCGCTCGTAGGGCCATACGTATTCGATAGTTGTCAAGAGAAAACTCGACGCATAGCATTATGAATTGCTTTCAAAGGGTTTATAAGTATCTAGCTATTTGACGAAAGGTTTTCTTTAACGTGGTTTTTATTTTCGATTAGATAATACTTTATATATAATTCCTTTACTTAGCACGTCGCCGCACCCTATAGGAGGTCCCCAGGGTCCAAGCATTGCGTTTTAGATACCCGCCCGACATTAATAAATATAATAACAATAATAACAACCACGCTAAGCGAGGTATGCTTATCCGTGCCCAACGTGGCCTTAGGCCACCAGGCTACTACAAGGTGGCAAAGACCACTTAAGAGAGGTATATAGCCTCACATTGCTCTGAGCTTCCTAAAACAATATCAACTACCTTGCTCCTATTCCATCCTTATATCCTTATCTGTGCCTGACATACCCGAACCGTCCACATCCCTAAGACTACTGCATTAGATCGATATGATGTACCGACAGTTACGGAATAAGCAAACCTCGCTTAGCGTAGCGTATCTTCAAATGCCTTCACCTTCTTTATAAATACTATTATATAGCTAGTCCACGTGACTCATTTCTATATTATAAAAAGAGATCTTTCCTCTGAGCTTTAGAGAGCAGACAGAAATCAGTATTGATTTATAATTATTATTTTATTTAGAATATTCTAAGTAAGATAAGGTGATCTATCAGAATCTATAAGAATATTCGATTTAACTCTGATTTATAATATTATTACGTATTTTATGAATCATATAAAAGGCTCTAGAACTATCTAAAAGTCTATGTAAGGCCTGGAAAGGTCTCATGTATTTACTTTAAGCAAGCAAACAAACAATACGGATTTGTTTTCCTTACTTCTTCCTTCTATAAAAAGTTATAATCAGATAATCGTCGGCTCGTTTACATAGGCTTCCTTACATCCTTTCAATCTTAGTCGGCGTAAGCGATCGCGGATCGGAAGCGAATGCGGATTTTTCTATCTTATTATCAATTTTTATGTGTAAAATACGATATATAACATCACCTTTTGATTTACAATCGTATTAACTCAATTGTATTTTATTATTAATTACGCATTTATTCGAAAAGGGCTCTAAAGATTTTTCAATACAAAAGCCACGCTTAACTAAGTAGTCTTAATGCAATTAAATCTTGAATCTGCTCCAAAACAGAAACTAATTATTAATAAGCTTTTTTTTTTAAAAAAAAAGGTAAGAGATGCTGAGTATCGCAAAGGTGCGATTCACGCAAAGCTAACGCGAGCGTAAGAGAACTATACGAGAATGCTTTGCTGCAGGCTTGATTATCAAAGACCACGATTTAATATTTATTTTAATTCTCGATTCGGAAGAGATTTGGTGGTTGCAACATCCTCTTTAAAGCAAGACTTTTTTCTTTTTCCTAGCATTAATATCAATAGCGATAGCTTCAATTCTGATAGTAGTAAAGATTTAAACGATTAATTGCATAAAATAAGAAACGAATCAGATACTGATAAGAATAATAATCGATGGTCAAATATTTCGTCAGATGATACGACTTAATATCTTTTAAAAGAAAGTATAATCGTCGGCTCGCTTAAATAGGACTCCTTTTATCCTTTCAGTCTTAGTCGGCATAAGCGATTGCGGATCGGAAGCGAATGCGGGTTTTCGAGTATATTAGAAATTCTTTTATACTATAGCATTTGTTATTACAACTAAGAAATATTTATATGAACAATTAATCGTCTATTATACCGTCTTTCGAAACATTTAAAATCGTATCATCCGATAAAACATTTGACCATCGATCACTATTTTTATTAGAATTTGATTCGTCTCTTACCTTACGCAACGAATCGTTTAAATCTCTACTACTATTAGAATTGAAGCTATCGCTATCGATATTAATATTAGGAAAAGGAATGGTATCTTGCTTTAAAAAAGTGTCTCCGGTAGTATCGGTTGTAATTATCAGATCATCGTTACCGAGAAAAGGTTCAAGTTAAAAGAGAGTTAGTCGAGGAATACCTTTTTTACAAGGCCGTAGAATTTGACGTTTAAGAGGTTGTTGCATCCACCAAATCTCTTTCGAATCGAGAATTGAAATAAGTATTAAATCGTCGTCTTTAATATTTAAGCTTGCAGCAAGGCGTTCTCGTATAATCCTTGCGTTTTCGGCCTATGATTAATTGTAGAATACAATTGAATTATGCGGTTGTAGATCAAAGAATAATGTTATGAATTGTATTTTATATACAAAAACTAGTAGCAAAATAAAAAAATCCGCATTCGCTTCCGATCCGCAATCGCTTATGCCGACTAAGATTGAAAGGATAAAAGAAAGCTTACTTGAGCGAGCCGACGATTACTCTTGGATTAATTATATATTTGAATGTTTTATTATTGTATTATTAGTTACTATAATATGAAAAAACTCTAACATGCACGAAAAATCTGCATCAGCTTCCTGTAAGGTTCATAATGATAGGGAATCACTATTCGAGACTCCGACGATGTTCCGTTGGTATTCAGACTGATCTCTAGCCTTTTAAACTCCTGAATTTCAAGGAACCCTTAAGAAATGTGGCCAGTATTTTACACGTGGTCGAGCCAAGCCCGCAAGGCCACCGAATATACTTTGATCCTGACACTTCCGATCCGCAATCGCTTACGCCGACTAAAACCGAAAGGATATAAGGAAGCTTATTTAAGCGAGCCGAAGATTATCATTTTCACCGGTAGTTTTGCAATTGCAAGATGCCACGTACGCTGCACGCTAGGAATGAACATTTGCTACCGGTGCTCTAATAATAACTTTGTAAAAGATTCGAATACTAACGAAATATTTTCGTAAAGGTATAAAAAGATTAAAATATAAAATATATAATACAAAAGAACCGCTATTCGAAGTTCCGAGAAAGCTTCGTAAATATTTAAATTAATCTTTACGTTTACAGAATCTTGAATTCTAAAAAGTTTTTGAAATGAATTAAGCTTATATAACTTACGTGTCCGAGCCGAGCCCGCCAAGCCTCCGACTTTCTTCGAGTGGGTTCTGTTCTTGACAGTTCTCCGGATGGCCGGAAATGCAAAAAAAAAAAAAAAAAAAAAAAAAAAGGAACGAAAGTATCGCAACTTTATGAATCCGTTCTAAATTAAATTGAAGCTTGTCCGATACGTATTAAATGGTTTGTAGAGCGTACATGGCTTTTAATTATAATGCAAATGATTTACTGACGTAAGAAAGGATTCCGCAGATTGAATGAAGCTTATAAAATCTTATAACAAAAAACCAACGATATAAAAGATATATACCTTAATACGCTAGTGCGCTATTCAAAGAGGTCAAATAAGCCAGGACTTGGGTAAAGCCTCAAGTATGCATAGCTGCTTTATACAATCAGCTTCGGCGGTTCTTAAGTCACGCTCTAAAGCATGGCTGTTCCGCACAATACAGCTTTATAAGAAAGGTTAATTCGCGGGTGCTTATCGATTAAGAAAGTGGTGGTAGTAGTAGTAGTAGTAGTAGTAGTATTGTTTTAACGCCTGCTGCGGGTCCTGAAAGAGAAAGTGGTATAGAGTTCGTAGAAAGAGTCATTATATTGAATACGTCAAGACTTTTTAATAGCGCTAAGATGTATTATAAAGAATTCTTTTTTTTTTTCTTAGATTGATGACCATCTCCTTTTCCTACTTCCGATGGATCTTATCTTTTGCCGCAATCGCCGCCGCGGCCGCGCCCTAATCTTTTGCCACCTTCGCCGCCGCGGCCGCGCCCTAGATTTTTGCCGCCATCGCCACCGCGGCCGCAGCCTTTTGCCGCAATCGCCGCCGCGGCCGCGCCCTAGGTTTTTGCCGCCATCGCCGCGGCCGCGCCCTTGCTAAATCCGACGACTCCAACGACCGGCCCGTAGCGGCGTAGCCGGTCCTAGATGCATTCAAACCCTTGCTTCAATCCAAAATATTCTCTAAGGTGATCGTATCGTGCCTGCCACCATGCCTAGCAATCAACCGGAGCTGTCGGCAGCGATCAAGACCTTCCCCCCTAGTAGGGACGGCGATTGGAGCTGTAAGGTAAAGCAACTCGACACCAGGAAAGGCTTTGTCCAAGGCCTTCTCGACCATGCGTGTTGTTGCGTGAAATGGGTGCCCAGATTGAGTGAAGCCATTTTCGTTTTTTCTTTTTAGTCGTGACCGAGTAGGATGGAATGCGACTTACATGCCGTGCAGCACCAAAATCTTACGCGGACGCTGACATAGTGGGCCTGGTGGAGCCATGAGAACTCAGACCGTTTCTCGTATTACGATCTCGTATTACGAGTACTTTACTCACTCCCCGATCGAATGAATGCGATATCGGTGATAGTGGTAGAGGCAGCGTGGGGAAAGTGTACTGCTTTCTATCAAAGGCAGAAGCTATCGGAAGCTATCGGAAGCTATCGTTGTGGATATGACACTAGTTTCCATTCCAGAGCTGTGCCTTGCTCCAAGAGAAGCAGCTGGTAAACAGACTTTTCTTGCATGAATGAAATGGTAGTTTGGCAACCACCGCTTTACTCAGTTGTTTGGCGGTCTTCGTATACCCGCTTATACTGCCCCCCGGGTGCCAGTAGGGTATGGTAGGCTACCAATCAAGCCACGAGGTGATACATAACATTGGGGCTATTGATATTGTGAATGACAGCTCGTAAGCAGCTGCCTATTGCGTCAGTAAGCTCGCGTTTATTCCTATACACGGGAACATGTACATCCATCAGCTCACCTACTCTAGCCCGGAATAAACACTAAGTATTGTTAAGCGAGGCGATATTCAGAGTCGGAGGCAGAAAAAAAAGGATAAAAGGAGACGGAAGGCACTCGTCTTCAGGTATCACAGAGAATCGAGATCACAGCACGAAATCATCTTTTACATCCATCAATCCATCAATACTATCAAAATGCCACACTTCACTTCTAGTCCTACTATCGATATGCCGCACTTCACTTCTACTCCCTCCATCAAAAATGCTACCATCGATGAAATCCTAGAGCTGCAAAAGACTTTTGCCGAAAAGCGGCTCGTCTTCGTCGACGGAGAACGCATGGCCGGCTGGTTGATGGGATTGGGAGCTTCCGCCGAAGACCTGAAGAAAATCCAGAAGGTTAGCGATAAGCTTCAGGGAGATCCAACTCTCCCTTTCCGCAAGTCGAAGAACGGACGCTTCCTCTTCAACTTTGACCGCAACGAGCTGCAGAGACTGGAATTCCAAGAGTTTGTCCTGTCCGCCGCCGAAGATTTTGTGCGCCACGACTCCGAGAAGACGCGATCTTTCGAACAGATCACTACGGACCTGCAGGGCAACACGGCACTACAAGCCCTCTTTCTCTTCAAGTCGTTGATGATACGATCTATTCGTACGAAGCACCGCCCTATGCTCGATTATAATCACAATTCCTATGTCTGCACCCTCTTCAACCTGCGGACCGTGACGACGGGTGACCTGGTAGGCGAGCCCGCTCTCGAGGGCGTGCATAGCGACGGTGTCGATTTCACCATGACCACCTTCTTGGGTGCTGAAAACATGACGGATGACAGCGCTATTACCTTTGTGCACGACAACGAGGAAAAGACGGCGGCGAGGTGGCACGAAACAAATCCTAAGCTTCTTTGCGGCTCGTACCAGCACCGCCACTTCCTGGACACACTGCTCTTCGTCGATGCAGAATATAAGCACAGCCTGACGGCCGTTGAGCAGAAGGACTTGTCCCGCAGCGCCACCCGCGACATGCTCATCTTCTTCACGCGCAAGCCGGTCGTCAAGGGCCACGTGTCGTACAAGTATGATTCTCTGGTTGAACATCAGACGCTTCCACTGAGGGTCTCGCTGAACGAGACGCTTTCCGCCGGTCGAGTTGGAGACAAGCGAACAGCTGCAGCTTAGCGAGCAGGTGGAGTAGGAGGATGTGGTGATTGTCAGCTAGTTACCGGGTAGTGAGCACGCAGGAACGAGGGTATATTCAACACTATACCCCGGAGGCCCGAAGCTTATCGCCCGTCTCTCTCTCACTTTGATTAGACTCCCCTTTTCGGTAAACTAGGTACAAGATATATATGCAGAGACAACTAGGATAAAAGTAGACAAAAGTATATGAATTCACAGTTATCAGAAAGAACCCTCTCACTCATCAAATCAATTTCGCTTCAGGATGCATACCTACCTTTGAGAGGGCCTCTCTTCGTTCTTACTGACCCGTGCTATGATCATTCCCGGCCTCAGCTTGACCGTCATCAGCCTCGTATGCTAGCGGCTACTTCGACGCCGAGCATCCCTCACACAATTTGACGGTCCGCCATCGGCCGCATGGCTTCCATTCTGGATGGTCAAGGCATCGGTGAGCAAGAAGCAGAACTTGATGCTTTAGGGATGCTCGCAGACCTACGGTCCTTTCGCAAGAATCGGGCCCAAAACTCTGCCGATCTCGGACCCCGAGTACCTATGGAAGATCAATAGCGTGCGTGGCTCATGTACGCGTGGACCTGCGTATCACGCCGTTCGGCTGGAAGCGGGCAAAAATAAAATCCTGGGTTCTCGAGATGATGTGCGGCATACGGAGCTGCGCAAGATACAGATGAAGTCAAGAAGAAGCTCATGAAAATGTATGTATTTAGTACTCGAAAAGAGAAAACCCAGGCCTCGAGAGCTCCATTGACGCCCACGTAACGGGATCTCTGAACCTCATCGACGTAGAATACTTGCAGCGACCTGGGATGCGCTTCCGCTCAGTTGACCTTTCCGGGACGCTGGGCTGTTTCGCCCTCGACGTCATCACCGACATTGCCTTTGGCTCCTCCGGTGGCGACGTGAAGACCAATGCGGACGTCTTCGATTTCTTTTCCAACGTCGCGGCATTCGTGCTAGTCACAAGCCTGACCGCCGTGATCACTTCTCAAAATCACAGAAATACCTTGGTCGAACGAAATGGTGGCGCCGAGTTGTGCCGATCGAGTGGGAATTGGCATGAAGTGCGTCCGTTACGAGATCTCTGTTTTCAGGAGAAATCGCTAAGCACTCGCTGACTCTGCAAACAAACCAGTTTGGCTAAAGTTGCGGTCGAGAAGCGGTACTCCACTACCACACAATTATCGGAACGGCTCGACATGCTTGCAGCCTTCAAGATGCATGGTCTCACAAAGGAGGAAGCTGAGATTGAATCGGTATCCTAAATGTATGTTGTGAAACCCTTGTGTACCTATCGATATCGGCTTCGTCGGCCCCGGCATGCCATGGAACTGTACCAATTGGGGATTCGGGTAGGTACGTGATTTCTGGTTCTCCATCAGCCCGCGCAGAGAGCGGAATACCGTGTCTTGATCAGGCAGTTGTTGGGAGTTGTAGCAATAATCATGGTACTCTCCCCCCCTCCTAAATAACTGTAATACTGGGTCGTTTTTTGGAGGCCGATTCCGGCGCGTATAGCAGGGGGCATAGCAAGGGTTAATAGTGGAGCATATAACAGTTTTAAGCCACTCGGAGTAAAGAAAATATTAATCTATTAAGATTCTACCTAGTCAGTTGCGATGTCGTTGAAATACGAGTGCATACATGACTAGTGCTTGCTCGTATAATTGAAACATTGACTTTGGGTTCATCTGATATGGAGCGGAAGGTCCCCGGCCGCACATCCTCACTCCAAGAGTGCTACCTACTACTATATCAGATTGTGAGAAATGCTTCTAGATTCGTAAATAAGAAGATATCACTTAGCACTTGCGATCCATATTACTCGCATATCATGCATGTCGGAGTAAGAATTTCTCTTGGTGCGTAAGGAATAAGCGAATAGCACCGAGAGTATTGATGTTTTGTAGTCACCAGGCCGTCAGTCACCAGGCAATTACAACCTAACCACTCACTGTCTGATAGATTTAATTTCGGACCGTTGGAGGTAGATCTTACTCGCGAGCACTACGCATGCCACTCACCAACCACTTTCTTTGTTTCCAAGCTGGTTGGGCTCGCCCCCACTAAATGATCCATGAGCTCAGGTCTTTCCTTTCCTCTGTCTAGCTGCATCCCTTTTGCTGGCACGGAAATATAAAGCAGTTCGTTTGGAAGGAAAAAGAAAAACTTATATCTGTATTCTCAACGCTTTTCAAGTCTTTTACAAGCCAACTTTAAACGTATCTTATGACTGTTCTTTGCATATCTGCATTCCCTCCCCAACCCCTTGCTGCTGCTGTAAAGCCAAACAAGACGTCTTCCTTGGAATAAGGAGTTAGTAATAATCAAACGATGACCGACCACGTACTCACCGTCTCTACTGACCCAATCGGAGGCGTCATGCATACCAAGGAGGCTGCAATCTCTGTGCAACCAGGCCATCCAGACGAGATCGCAGCCTTTGCAATAGACGATCCCGAGAACCCATTCAACTGGTCTTCTGTGAGTAAATACGGCACATTCGGAGGACTATGAACTCCGGCATTATTTCTTTTATTCTTATTAACACGGACAACAGCGAAAAAAAAGCTTCGTCATGATCGTCGGGATCATCGCCATCCTCAACAGCACTTTTGACTCATCACTGCCCAGCGGCGCCATTGACTTTATCACCGCCGAATTCAATGTGACAGCTCCCATTCAGAATGCCCTGCCCATATCCATCTATCTCGTCGGCTACATTCTCGGCCCGCTCTTTTTTGCTCCCCTCAGCGAGACATACGGGCGGCGCGTCGTCATGGTGCCGAGCTTTGCCCTCTTCACCATCTTCACCCTGGCCTGCGCGCTGGCACGAGACTGGCCCTCATTCCTCTTCTTCCGCCTGGTCTGTGGCATTAACGCCTCGAGCTCGATTGCTATCACGAGCGGCATCTACGCGGACATCTATGCTGATCCCGTGGTCCGCGGCCGGGCCATCGCGTTCTCCATCTCGGTAACCTATACCATGATGGTTTATTGCCATGTCCGTACTTCATGCTAATCATATGCTTGTAGGCCACGTCGTTTGGGCCGCAGCTGGCGCCGCTTCTCTCGGGTGCGGTGTCGCCTGTCAGCTGGCGCTGGACCTTCTGGATTGGATTCATCCTTCTGGGCGTGTCCCTTGTTCCTGTATTATTCCTCCCTGAGACCTTCAAGCCAGTGATCCTGCGCAAACGTGCTATCAAGCTGCGGAAAAAGGACCCAAGTCACCGAATCTACGCGCCGATCGAGCTGGAAACCCGTGATACGATGGAAATCGTCACGGTAACGCTAGCGCGTCCGATACGCATGTTCTTTAAAGAGCCCATTGTGCTGCTCAGCAGCTTGTATCTGGCCTTTGCAAGCGCCATCTATTGTAAGTCCAGCGAGATGCCTACCGGTGATCAACCATTGAAATGACTGACGCTTGCGCAGTTCTCCTTTTTGAAGCCTACCCCATCATCTTCCACGGCATCTACAAAATGAACTATATCGGGGCTGGCCTCGCCTTTATCCCAAGTACGTCTTTCTTCCTCCGTTAAATATATACATCCGTGCAAAAGACTAATAGCTCATGTACACAGTTGCTGTCGGGTCCATCCTCGCCTTATTCATCTCAATGGCATGGGACGGCTACTTCCAACACGCGCGCAAGCACCACCGCCCCTTCACCAGCATCAAAGAATACGAACGCGTCCCGCTCGCCTGCCTAGGTGCCGTTTGCTATGTCGTGGCCATCTTCTGGCTCGGCTGGTCCGCGTCATCCAACATCCACTGGATCGTGCCCATGCTCTCCGGCGTCCCCTTTGGCGCCGGCTTCGTCCTGATCTTCATCGCACTGCTCAACTACATGACTGATGCCTACCGCGAGCTCGCCGCCAGTGCAGCTGCCGCCGCGAGCTGTACTCGGAGCATTTTTGGCGCGCTGCTCCCGCTGGCTAGTTCGGCGATGTATGGCCGCCTGGGTGTGCCGTGGGGCATGAGCTTCCTCGGCTTTGTGAGCCTGGTCCTGGGTCTTGTTCCGTTTGCTTTTATCAAGTATGGGGAGCGCATTCGGTTGGGGAGTAAGATGTGTCAGCAATTTGAGCGAGAGTGAAAGCTGCGAGTGTTATGGGCGTCGATCGTATATATTTGTATATACTTGGATAGAACTAAAGACCGATCAGGTTCTGGACCTGCCATACGCAAATGATATTGGTTGACAGAACTCAGGCATGAGACTAAGTAGCGATTACCATCTTCCTTTCCAATGTCCACATGGTAGCCGACAAAGGGAATGTAATCATAGAGAACTGGTGAGACGTGCACGTACTTTGCTTTGGTTAATGGGACTTTTGCATTACGGCTATCAAAGATAGTAGTATGTTACTGTTAGTAACACAGGTGTTGATAGTATTGACTAGTTAATTGACTCGGTATTGATAAGGAAGGTTGAAGCGGTTCCTGAACCAAACCACGAGTGCACGTGCCACCGTTACATGCTACTGCTAAGCTTAAAGCTTCTCGTACGTATTACGTAGTAATAGTAGTAGTAGTAGTACTACCTTCCACTTCTATTATACTATTCCCCTCCCAGAAAAAAATACGGACCACTAAGTGAAAGCATATTTTGATCTTAAAGCTGACCGCTTATTAAGTGTAGCAAAATAACGTACATATTAATTTTCTAGTATTTGGTAAGTCTTCCTTGAGCATTAATCATTCCTGGATATCCATTTTACTACGAATTATATAAAGAAATAACGAATTCTTAAGGAACTGCTTCCCAAGCGTTAGGGTTACAACCCCCTGCTCTACCCCTAGTAAAAATATACCTTTCGTCTTTTACTCAACGAGGGGGATAGTAGTACAAGAGGACAGAATAAACTATCCGGCCAAGGAATGTTAAGGCCAGGGTGCGCAGGACCCTTGCCAAAGAACTTATCTCCTTTTGTATCTTAGAATCTTTTCTTTTCTTATATACAATTTAGGATTTTAATAAGTCTTAGTTTTTATTAGTGTATCACAAGTGTGGTTTATTAGTAAGACTAGTTTTCTATCAAGGGGTTGGTTGATTATATTGTTGATATCTCGTACTGCTATAAGTAGTTATGATGGTCCCTTATAGGAACTTTAGGTGCAAGGGCCACTATCATGGGCCACTACCACGTGCCACTGCCAAGCTTAAAGCTTCTCGTACAGTACCTTCCACTTCTATTATAGTACAAGGGCACAGAATAAACTATTCGGCCAAGAGATCTTAAGGCCAGGGTGCGCAGGACCCTTGCCAAAGAACTTAGTAGTACCACTCTTCCCTCCTAACAGCTACAGCCTGAAGATGCCTTAAAACTTTAAATCTCCACTTTAAACCCCTTGGTTACCTTACCCTCAAGGTGTGATAAGTACGCCTGCGACGTTGTATCTCCTTTTATACCTCGGAATCTTTACTTTGCTTACTATCTTCCTCTTTGAATAATTATCGGATCCAGTTTAGCTCTATAAATCGTAGAACGGTGATTTTTGAATGGCTTAAAGCCTTGTCAAATCCATTGCATAGACTCATACTAGCTCAAAGATACTTTTCAAGGCTAAATGAATCCGTATACGTAGTAAGTTGATCTGTTCAAGACATCGTAAGATCCTTTGCAAAATTATACTTTCGATAAGTTTTCATGGAAGGGGTGGGGCGAAAGTATATACAGTTTAGACTTTTAATGAGATAAAGTTTTTACTAGTACGTGGTATACAAATATGGTTTGATAATAAGATTAGTCCTCTATCAGGGGTGTGATTAATTATGTTATTGATATCTGGTACTGCTACGTACTACGTCGCAGGCGTAAGTATTACCCCTCGAGGGTAGGGAAAACAGGGGGTTTAAAGTGGAAACTAAACTTTTAAGGCACCCTCGAGGGGTAATACTTAGGCCTGTACCGTGGTATGAGTAGATGGTCCCTTAAGGGAACTGTAGATGCACGGTCCACTATCGAGTACTCCTGCCGTATATGGCCATTCGCGTTCCTTTTATTCCCGACTGCTACAATGGCCTTTGTAATTTAATACTAGCAGTTCTTTAATTAATTTAAAGAACTATTTAATTGTAACTTATATTATTTCCTACGTCTCGAAATTCAATCGAACTTCCCGGAATCGAAACTCCTTTTTTTTTTCTTTAAATCCAATCAAAATTCCTCACGTCTTTCCGTCTCCGTCTTTCAGCCTGTCTTTCGGCCTATCCTTTAATCTTAATTTCTACGTTATTGTTATCGATAAAGGTCATCATTGCTTTATTCGATATAGCTTTCGTTATATAGTTACCTATATTCCATTTTCTATCGATCTGGCGTATTTTCGCGATCTTTTTGCGTTCGTATAATTAGCGCAAAGCTATTATATCGCTCGTCAGCCTCTTTTCTTTAATAATATTAAGCTTAACTAAATACTTATAAATCGAATAAGAGTTAATGCAAAATATCATAAATATATTTAGTAAAGAGAGTTCGATGTATCGGTACATCAATATCGATCCGACGTGGTTGATGGAGGTGGCAGGTTCGGGTATCTCAAGCAAGCATGCTTCGCTTAGCGTGACATACCCGCAAAGGACCCAGGCCTCCAAAGGATCTTCAACTTCTCTTTAAAACACTATTAGATAGCTATTCTCGTGATTTTTTTAAATTGAATAAAAGAATTATATTTTTCCGAACCTTAAGGAGTATATAAAACTCAAGTATCATTTTTATTTATTATTATCGGTACATCATATCGATCTAAGGCAGTTGGAGGTGATATGGCCAATTCAGGTATCTCAGGCACCGATGAACATGCCTCGCTTAGCATGGCACGCGCTTCAGGGAACTTCCAACTTCGATAAAAAATGTCGGTATATCCATATCGACCTTAGCTAGCTAGTAGTAATAGTTGGGGGAGTTCACTCGTGAACCAGGGTTCATGGGTCACTTGGCATGCCTCGCTTAGCATGCCACAGCTCAAAGGATTCTCAACTTGAGTATAAAACTGTTAGAATATTGGACTGCCGCCTATATTCCCTGATATGGACTAGCCTCTTGGCTAGTCCCTTAAGTACACCTGTATTACAGCTCTCAGTACTCTTACAGTTAATAGACTATAACACTTTTTTTTTTTTTTTTTTTTTTTGTATTTATTTACGTCGGGCGGGTAGCAAGCGAAGCCTGCCGCCCTAGGACCTCTTATAAGGTACGGCGACGTGCTAAGCTAAAGAGTTATATACAAGAAGGCCTTAAAAAGCAATTCATAGTGTTGGATTGCTTCCAAGCGATTAGGGAATATATTCGTAAAGGTCGTAACGTCGTTAAAGTACTTGCAATTGCAAAACACTCCGTTTGAAAGGTATCTGAATTCTAACTGCTCCCTAAGACTCAAAGGAGCTAATTCTTTTTATATAATTAAAAGGAATCACGTGAACTAGCTAACTAATAGATTTACTTGTCAAGTTAAGGGTCCCTTGACTGCTGACATGCTAAGCGAAGCATGCTAAATGGCCTGTAAACCATAGTTCACGAGTAAGCTCCCTTAACTACTACTACTAGCTAGCTAAAGTCGATATAAATATACCGACACCTGTTACGGTCCTGGCAAGCCTTTAGCGTAGTTAAAGGATTGGTCAGGAGATCGATTAGTCAGCGGCCCGCTGCCCTAGTCCTATCTAGGACTAGGCTTACGCTAGCGGCCGTCCCAAGTACAAAACTTCTCCGCCCTCTTGTATTCTAGCACTTCTTTTTTTCGTCTTTCTTTTTCGATACGAAGCGTACGATTAAATAATATTATAATATTATTTTTTTCTAGCCGTAGCATAAAAAAAGACCGACCACCACTTCCGCTGCGAAGCATTATATCGACCTCCGTTTTTAATATAAAACTTCGAACTGCCTTTGCTGCAACTCGGAGTTCTTTTTAAGTTATACTAGCTTTTACTTCTTTTACTTAAGTTCGAGTACTTTAATTAGATATCACCACTGATTATAGTCTTTGTCGGAGTATACCAGCCATGCAGCGGACAGGAATGGAAGGAACGACGGATAGGAATGGAAGGGACGATAAAGGTAGTAATGGACTTAGCACGTAAAGGTGGCACGTGCGCCCGCGGTCCTTTTAAAGGACCGCTACTATTAGTATAATAATACGAGACATTTATAACACAACTAACCCAAAACGATAATACTATCAATACTTGTATATTAATACTAATCAATAGTTAAATAAACTATAGATTCGTAAAGTCTAAAAGAGATAAGATTAAGTCTAAGGAGTTTTTATTAACTTCGCTTTTCATTTTGTGTTAACGATACTTACTATCAGTTTTCGGCTAAAAATCGAGAATCGAATAACCCTTTTACGAGAATCGATGATTCGATTGCGTTTATCACGCGCGAGAAGATTTAAAAAGCGAATAACTTTTTGCGAGCACGATTCTTACTTTTCTTTTCAAAGAATTGTTTCTTTGGCTAACAAGCTAGCAAATCTATTATTATACCCGCTTACCTTTAACTATTACGAATTCCTTCTTTTATATACGAATTCGCTGCTAATATATCGGTCCATTCGGCTATATCGAACGTATTAGCTAGACTTGTACCACTAAGATTAAAGTGCTAAATCAATCCCTTTACTTAAGGATATGACTTTGACTTTATTGACCCCGCTTAAGTTATAAACCCTTTTATTATCAATAGCTATATCGCTATGTGTTTAGAAAGCTATAAAGACACGTATAATAATAAGCAAAGAGAGTCTTTTTTCGAGATCTTCTTATAAGATTTTAATAAATAAACGATTGAGATATAAAGACACGCTTATCGATCGATTTGCCGCTAGCTTCGAGAACACCTCGTGATAAGTAAAGTATAAGTTAAACTAACTAAAAGTATCTTTTAAACAATAATTTTCTACATTTTAAGCTAAAAAGATAAGCTAAAATTATAGACTTTTGTTTATAAGGATGCTAAGAATAAGATCATCGCGGAACAAAAGGTCAAAGAAGCTAAGAGAATAGCACTTAAGCAAAAGCAGCAAATTAAAAAGAGAATAGCAATAGCACTTATTATTACGCCGGCGGCACTTGCGCTTACAATTACACTTGCTATCGACCTTATAATTGAACTTACAATCGAGCAAAAAGGGCTAGCTATAAGTATTAACCGCACTTTATTAAGTGACCCTTTTAATACTCGAAGCCTCGCTA